GAACAAATATTGATCAGGAACACTAGGGAAAAGAGGGCACAAGAGAAAGGCAGTGCAGAAAAAACAGGGAGGGACTAATCAATTTTTGACTTCTGAAGAAGTATCTGGAAAAAAAGAAGTTTGAGAGAAATTCCCCCTTAGTGTCTCAGCACCCTGCCTTGCAGGATGCATTAACTTTGGCCTCTAAAATCTATCACGAAAAAAAAAAGAAAGAAAAAAGGAGCAAACAGCTTTTAAAATAAATGAATACTGTTAAAATATGGTACTTTCATTATTATGTCTTTTTTATTTTCCATCTTGTCCTCTGAGACTTTCAGATGGTGGTTCTTTTCCTTTTGCCTCGCTGTGCAGTCTGGAAGTGGCCTCTTGCACAGCCTCTTCTAGGCCCCTATGTGAGCCTCCTGATCAGCTCTGACAGCCAGTCAGGCTCTGTTCTCCATCCATACCAAGGCAGGAAGTTCCCTACACGTGTTTTTTCAGTTGACATTGTCCAGCCTATGTGATTCCCAGCTGAGCGCATCCATTTGTTTTCCAAGAGGCTGCAGTTTCCTGCTTCTTCCACAGATCTAGTGGTGCATAATGTAGCAAGGAAAAAGACATGTAGCAATAATGAAACCTTCCTTCAGGGTCATTATTGAGACATTAATTATCCAGGCTTTTTTTTTTTTTAAGATAATAAGGCCCCAGGTGCTCAGTATATGGAAGAGAATTGTAGGAGTCATAGAGAATAGTCATAGAGATCAGAATCCCCAAAACGTGAACAAAGGTTATGTTAAAGCCTGCCTCTGAAACAGATCAGAGAAGAAATGAATGAGTTGATACAAAATTTTGTGATACAAAAACTTTTCATAGCACCAAGGTCAGTGTTGATGCTGAAGTGCTTAGTTTAATAAAAAGTGTCTCACTTCCATTGCACAGTTATGATTTGTTACAGCATAAGTGAAATACTGCTCACTTGAAGCAGATGATAAAGGTGACCTCGTTTGTATGACTTTGCTTCAAGGGAATTACAGGACACTTAACAGTCCTAATACCAGTAGACACGACAGTGGACTGTATTAAGCAACAGAAGAAGTAGCATTTTTGGCTAGCCCAGGTAGCTCAAAAGAGGTTGTCTGCCATGGTATGTACAAGAAAATATGGAGGAGATGCAATGAGAGGCAGGTGAAAAGTACAGGATGGCAGAGGAGCAGGTCTAGTGAGAAACTGTATTGAAATTAAATGACCCCTGATGATAATGTGAACTGCCCATAAGAAACTGCTGTACTATGCAATTATTACTCTGTTTTGAATAGGCCTTAGTTTATCTCTGGCACAGATTCCTTAAGACTCACTCGATGGATGAAACTGGCCCAATTAATCATTTAAAACAAATAGTTAAATCTCTGTAAAGATGTCTGGTATGCGAGGTAAATTAAAGTCTTTACCTTCCTCTTTTTCATATAGTACAGACCTAAGGCTGAGAAATGCCTGAGGCTGATTCACTGCCTCCTTAGGCTGACATGCTTGAGAAAGTAATAGAAATTACTGATGAGTAGAATGGATGGATGAAACTTTCTCTTATTTCTGAAGTATTGATTAACATTAAAGTCTTTGCTAACATTTTAATAGAGCATTTGGTATGGAGCACATAAATATTATAATACTTTTCTGCTGTTCCTCACTGTAATCTAGCATAGAGACACCTATTTAAAAAACTATTGATGATTGCTGCTGAAGAATCAGCATGGCTTTTGTATTTTGTGGATTTGATGTGCTTGGGAGTGAAGGAAGGCTTTTCATTTACCTGAATTTTGCTCCTTTTCACCTGATTAAAGAGAGATATTTTTGGTGCTTACAATCATAGTCACTGGGTTGACATTGCTCTGAGAATCACCTGAGACATTACATACATGTGTGTCTCAGAAAAATTCCTGTGCAAATCAACTTGTGTTGGACATGAGAAGTCATATGGAGTGATGTCAAAGGCATGCAAAGTATGGTTCTGAACAAGCCCATGGAGTAAAATGCTGTAGTAAAAAGTGTGAATGTATCTGATAAACAACCACAAAATAGTTAATGAAAAAGAAATCACTGTGGATTTTAGCTCTGTGCTGCTAATGTTAGTGTTTTGTAATTCAGCTTTCTTGCTGGTGAGGCAGTATGATTGCTAGCTTCCCCTGGGAAGGAGAAATGGATATTCAGGAAATGTGGAGGCAAAAAAGCTGACAGCTGCAGTTGCCCTTTTTAATTATTTTTCAGCTATTCTTCTCGTGTACTTTTCCACTTCAAGCAGTTATTTAGGAATTTTCAACCTGGTGACCAACACTGATGTGCCATACATGCTTCAAGAGCAAAGCAAAATTCTTCATCCATCACCATCCATCATTTAGACCAGCAGTTCTTTTATACAGTGTTGCCTGACATTTCTCCCTGTTGCTTGATGACTTAAGGAACTTGCCCCAAGTACTGTGCATGCCAGCATACCAGCAAACAAGATGAAGTGACAACTAGTTCAGCACATCTCCTTTCAACAGTCCCAGTACAGTAGGATTGGAATGATGACGGATGATACATTCTTTTTCTTCCTGACAGCCTTCAGTTTGTTTTGTTGTTTTATTTTGTTGGTTTTCCTGACCTAATGAAAGCACAGAATGTGATTCTGTCTGGTAGACATACAATGAAAGAAAAGACAAGCAAAGAGTACTGGAAAGATACCATGAGCTGTCAGGAATATGCTACTGCACAGTACAAGATCAAATACGTAGTGGTGTATTGATGCTATTCCTGTCTGCTTAGAATCAGCTCCATTCTCTTATCAATTCCTAAGGAAACAGATTTTCCCCGAGATACCTATTTTTCAGGGTTGTCTGTATAGTTTTCTTCTCTGAGCCTCCTGCAGCAGAGCTGGCATTTTAGAAGGCACTCTAAGGAATTATCCTAGCAATGTCCATTGGGCCATGACAGGATTGGGCAAAAATCACATGGGAAACAACCATTTCTTTAAGTCCTCTAATTCTTCGTGTGATGAGACTAAGGGATACTCTTGGCTACTTTCTGTAAGCCAATCCCTCACATGGCTGTGAGGAACATAGGAAATGTAACTGAGGTGCATCCTAAAGTCTTTCAAAAAGAGGTAGATCTCAAGAATTTTCTGCCGAAGCCCTCTTGCGTGCAGCACAGAAACTGCATCTCCTGGGCTAGGTTAAAGCTACAGCAACTCTTATTATCACCCACGTTATAATAATGTCTGCAGCCACAGTGGCTCCATGGAGACCTTCTGCAGCCACAAGATAGTTTTGCTTTGCCTTATGATTATATGTATGTGAAACAAGGTAGCTGCATTTTTTAGAAAAGAAATGGTAGCAACCCCATTTCTCATATAATGCACCTTTGCGATGAGAAGATTCTGTGCAGTGTCATGACACACCAGGCTTTCTAGCTACCCCTCTAGTAATACTTACCCTACATACCAGTAAGCATCTTGTTTTAAACTGGTAAGATTTTGTGACAAATAAAATCTGCTTTGTCTGCATACTGTTAGCACTTTATAGCAGTGGGGAATAAGCCAGCAGAGAGAATACAGTAATAATTTATGTGGCAGCATATCACCACGGGAAATAAAATAACATTCTGCTCTTGCACAGGAGCCAGATAAAAGGGAAACAAATCTCCAAAGCATTTTTATCAGATGTTCATCCAACAACATTCCCCACAGAAACTCCAATGAGAGATCTGAATGGCTCACCGTGTTTTTCATTTCATTACCACTCAGCATGCCAGACTGGAAAAATAGGGAAAGATTACTTCATTCTGTTCATAATTCTTAGCCTTTATAGAAGGATGCAGATGATGAGAAACAGGCATCTAGAAATACAGACAATGCATCACATTCCAAATGTGTGTTTTTTCCCCGAACGTTAATTCTTTAATTCTTCCTTCTCCACAAGCATTCACTCAAGAAAATAGAAGGATCATCTGTAGCAATTGACATCAGTACCGTATAACAAGTCATTAGCGTGTAAATGCCGCTTTTGAACCGGATCCTTTGGTGAAAGGTATTAACAACTTCGGTAACCCTTGCGGACTTGCAGAGCGTGAACTAGAATACAGGTGGAGTTTGGAGCACGTCCGTGTCTGTGATTTTGCACAGAACTGCGGAACTGAGCAGCCAAAATCCCAGTTTCCCAGATGAGTGAGCCGATATTGCTATTGCTTCATCTACTCTTAACGGTGGTAGTAAAGCTCTGGCGTTGTTTGAGCTAAGGGAAGAAGTGCCCGCTGGTCTGCATGAAGACACTTGGTTTTCCGATTTTAAGCTGTGTGGAGGTTTGGCATGGGATTGCACATAAACGGAGAGAGAGTAAGTAACGCTGAAACCAAGTAATACAAGAACGGCGGTAGGAAACGTGGGTTCAAGCTTTAGGTAACTGCTGTGAAGGCTTTAGCGGCAACACTAAACTTGGTTGCTGGTGTCCCCGTTTACCGACTCCCGAAGTGGCTTTTTCGTAGGGGTTAGTGCTGAGTGACTCGTACATGGAAGAGAGCCCTGGGGACGGCTGCTGAGGAACGGGCAGCGCAGGGCAGGTACCCGCCGCAGACGTGCGGCCCGGGCCCTGCGGTGGCTTCCGCGGGAGGAGCCCCGAGCCTGTCAACACAGGAGAGAGCCCGGCACCAGGCACTGAGCCCGCGGGCCGCGCCGGCCGCCCCTCCTTCCTCCGAGCTCCGCGTCAGCCGCGCGCCGGAAGGAGCCGTCGCCTCCGCAATGGCGGCGGGAGGCGGGCAGTGGCGGCAGGTGCGGCTGCGGGAGAGAGAGGCGGGGTCGCCCCTCGGGGCCGGTGGGAGGGAGCCGCTCGCTCGGCAGCCGGCCCCTTTCCTGCGGGGGCCGCTCCTCCGCCCCGCAGCACGGCCGGGAGGGGCCAGAGGTTGCGGCCTGCCTCCCCGGGGAGCAGGAGCCCGTGCCGTGGCGGCACGGCGTGTGGTGAGGAGGCTGCCTCCGTTGCTCTGCATCAGGCTCGGATGTGTCTTGTGCACAGGTTTCCGCTGGCAAAGGGCAGGTTTGGGGGCTGGGTTAGGTGTTACAAAAGTTAGTAGAACTTCCTACTAAAGTTACGGAGGCAGTCTGTGTAACTTGAAGCATTTTAAGCCAATTTAGGCCTGTTTAAGACTATATAATCTTGCTCAAGCGCAAGCAGATAATAGAAAATCAGCTGAGTCTTCCGAGATACTAATGCCAATACAGGACATGGCATCAATGATTTTTACATAAGGAGTATTAGGGGTGCTCATAGCTGGTTGAGACCTGAGTGACTTTAGCTAAATCATTCGTATAATGCTTGTGTGTGACCTAAGCTTGTCATCACAGTTTTGAAAGACAGATTATGTTTTCAGATCAATGCTTCATCAGCGTTTAAAGTACCCTTCACAAAATGCCAAGTTTTTTAGAGCATAAGGAAATAAATGTCCCCTTTATTCTTTGTTCATAAGAGGTAATTCGTTTGTTTGTGCCTGAGGAGAGGGAGACAATTCAGCCTTGAATATTGGGTAATGAGGATGATTCCTTTTTGTTGTTTTCTGGAAGAATAAAAAGCATCAAAGATGGGAGACATTAAGTGCCCAATTAGTGGAGACATATAAAGTGACCTGAATTTTCTGCCGGAAAAGACTCCTTTCACCATAGGTTAGTTCCTTGAGGGATCTATGATAAACCTGTGGTAGTGTGTTCAGTACTTTTGTCCATCTCTGGGAAAATGCGGAGACTTCTATGAAGGACAAGATCCCTTAGAATGGTGAAGTTGAGCACTCAGGTCTTATGTTCCTTTGAAGACCTTTGACTTAGCACTGTAAGTCTGTGCATTCATGGTAACATCTGGTTTCTTCAAGGGGGTTGTTTTTAAGATAAGCTAATAAGTAGTTCTTCCTAAAATAGGCACTCTCTGTCATGGAGTTATTAGCAATTAGGTGTCTGGTGATCCTTTGGACCATTGTAATAGCATTGGAGCTTTGCAGCTTTATTGGACAGTGTAATCTGATTTTTATCTTCTAAAATATTGCTGGAGCAGTGTTCAGTGTCAGGATGTTACTAAAAGCTGTGTTTGGTTTTAGGTTGAATATCCTGATGCCCAGCTTGCTGTGTTATTGGAGCATGGTGGAGCTTACATGATTACATCGTCCCTGAGGTCTTTTCAGAAACTCTCATGAGGTTATGTTGCTGAGCAAAACTTACTTGATGCCCGGTAACAGAAGAGTATCGAATCACTTTGTGTCACCACTTCATAGGGGACTTTGGGTACTGTAGATGTGCCTCTCACCAGCACATCATGCTGGATGTAACAGAGGAGATGGATAGCCCCACATTTAAAAGTGACACTGTACTTTCTGATGTTCACTTACACTGTCCAAATAAAAGACATCTCATGGTCCGATTGAATGCAGTGGGACAACCAGGTAATGTATGTTTAGACTTCTTATGGAGATTTATTTGAAGTCTGTTCATCTCTTTGTAATGTCTGAATTATCTTTTGAATGATTGGTATTAATAATTACATATTTTATTCCAGTTAGAAGCAGAATTACTTCCTACACAGTCTTTAAGGAGAGGTCTATCTGGGTTCTCACTAAAGTTAAAACTATTAATGTAGAATTTGTAGACAACCCATTTTAAGAAAAGTAATTTTAGGTTACTATCTGAGAAGAAGTATCCAAACTTGCTTGCAGGTTTAATTTTATTTATTTATTTGTTTATTTAGCCATAATCTCAATATAGCATTGTGGGATTTATGTTAAAAAGTTGGCATGTTTCTTGTGTACAAATAAAGTGAGAAGTCATGTTTTAAATAGCATAACTTATTCCTGATCATTTTTATTTTGAACTTAACTTATGAATTTTAATAAAATCTTTATGTAATGATTTACAAACTATTCCAGAGGAACCTAACAGATTTGTTTGGGCTTTGTTTGTTGGTTTTGTTTTTTTTTAAAAAGCAACAAGAAAGCTCAGAATAGCAATGGTTTTAACTGACAATAATGGGAAGAGTCAGGGCTATAGTGGAACTGAACTGGCAAATTCGTCTGACTGTTTGCCCACTTGTAGGTTTCTATAAAGTTGTCAAGAAAGCTGGCCTTGAAGCTGCTGGTAAAATGTTCTGTAGAAAAGCACTGCTCCTGCTGTGACAGAAGTGTTAATTATTTTTTCAAACTCAGTTGTGACATAAAAATAATAACTTTTGCAGCTGCCCTAGTATATGACAATGTAAAAAATGATAAAAGTAGGCTTGACAAGTGGATAATAATTCTGATCCTGATCAGGTCAAAACCAGGGAATGAATGCTGTGGCGTGGCTTCATGCTGTTCGACATTTGTTTGCTGTGATTTTGCTTGATGCAAAGAACCTTTCAATAGAATGAAATGGTCTGGGAAAATCCTTTATTTATTAAGACAAGGATTCAGTTGTAGTATGACAGCTTTTACTCTTAACACTTATGATGGCAATCTACTTCTGTCACTCTATTTGTTTTTAGGGAACCTCGTGGGGATTTGGGCACTGCTGCTTTGGGTCAGTTTTACTTAAACCTTTTGAAATACCATAGAAGATGCAGAGGGTCAGAACGGACTTGGAAAAGAAAAGCATTTCATTCATTGATGGCCTCCTCTAATTTGTTAAATAAAAGTCAGTTTAATCTTGTCATGCAAACAGTAGATGACTTAAAAAATTTCTTATGCTATGATAAGTAGTGAAGATTTTATTAGATCTAGCTGACAGTGGTCTCTAGAGAATAACAACTCTCAGTTTGTAGTAGGCCAGCTTTGTAAATAAACTGGAATAGAACTCCATAAATAGTGGAATTGTTGAAAGCAATTGTGGTAATCACTTTCCCTCTTCCCTTTTGATGTGAATGAGCATAATTCTATGATATTCTTCTTGGAATCCTGCTGGTATTGGCCTTTTTGAGTAGTCATATTCTTGGCTATCTTTTTCTCAAGTCTCAACACATTCTGTGTGATTTTGGAATAACAGTATCCAGCCTAAGATGCTTACAAACACTGCTTTTATACCACAGTTGAATCAAATTCCATGATTCTGTGTTCCATGACTGGCCCATTTAGTCAAGCACATTGTGTAAGCATGGTGTGTAAGCACTGCTGTAGAGCTGACATCCACTGGTGATGTTAGGAAAAATGTCTTCTTCATCTGTTGTATTCAAACAATACAGATTCCTATATTTAAAATTGCAATATCCATTGTAGATAACTTAGAAGTTTTAATAGATGTTCATGTCACTGGATAATGGTTGCAAAACGTTTGCAGTGAATTGGTTTATAGACAACAGTGGCCTCATTACTTTTATCTCAAAGATTAAGTTTCAAGACTCCCCCCCAAAAACACGTGTCTGGCTTTGGCAAGCTGTCTCCTGTGATCTTATTTCTGCCCCCTCATACTCATAATAAGCCAATTTCAAGGCTTGAAGTTACTTGAAATCCTAAATTTAGTAAAAAAAAAAAAAAATCTTTTTGCACTAGAACATGTGTGTTTCTGATAGGATAGGAATTACAACTGAACCAAAAGAAACAAATTCTAACTTATGTTAATTCTTCTTTCAACTTGGTTTGAACTTGTCTGAAAAGAAAACCTGTTGGAGGATGGAAGAAACTGTCCCTTCTGCCAACTGTTAAAATAAGTGTTATTAAATCAGATGAAAGTGTGCATTGTGACTATGTAGATGTTAAGTCAGCCAGTAGACTGTGAAAGTACTTCACTATTTCTACTGTCAGAACTAAATAACTGAAATATTTCTCTGTAGCAAAGTAAACTTTATTTCAAATTATCTGTATATTTTTTTTATAGTGTAGATTTTTAATATGTCAAAGGCAACCAAAATCTAACAGACGTGGAGATTGCACATGGATTCTGTTCTTACCTGATGTTTAACTTCTTTTCTCCCTCTTTGTGTTTTTACAGTATTCCTGTCGTATTTCAAACTCCTTTGGAACATAGAAGATTTGTCATCTGAGAAACATGTGAGAGAAGTTACAGCAGAAAGAGAACTCCAGTACCAGAGTGGAGATAAACTGTGTGACAAGGACAAGAATGAGCTAAAAAAGGAAAGAGAATTTATAAATAGTGAAGGAGTAGAAGCTCTGCTAGATGAGGACGGAGACTTGGAAGTGGTCAGAAGACCTCGAAGTGCCTCTGATTTAGAAGCAGAGGATCTTTTGAGGGATAGAGTATATCCTGTCATTCTGATGAAAGGGAAAGAAGATGCTTTTGAAGATGAAGAAGAATGCACTCGCAGTGATGTTGTTAAAATAGGTAAATAGGCTTACAGTCAAGGAGAAATGGAATAAATATGTTAGCATAAAACAAAAGGAAAATAGGTTTTCTTTAGAACTGGAACAGCAGGTATGAAGTGACAGGCAATAATAAACCAAACTGAATACTGTCATATTGTAAATATTTTTAAAATTTACCATTTGTGTCCAGAAGTGATTTGAGCAACAGTATACCGTGGGAAACTCATGCTGCCTAGTTAGAGTAGGGGTTTGAGCATTGTCTAGCATTATTATATAGAATGAAGAGTGTATAGTTCTGTATTTGAAAGGGAAGCACGACTTGATTCTCAAATTTGCTACTATGGAACTTGATTTGAACAACATTTTAAGGTAATTATTGCTGCTCTACTTTCATTTTCACAGAACATACTATGGCAACTCCCTTAGAAGATGTCGGTAAACAAGTATGTATCCTGCCTTGTAGTATCTTGCTGTTCATGGATTGTGCTGCACAATTTACTCAGTTTTCACTGCTTCTCTTATCCACAGGTCTGGCGTGCAGCCTTTCTTCTTGCTGATTACATTCTGTTTAAACGGGACACGTTCAGGTGTTGCTCAGTGCTAGAGCTTGGAGGTGGCACTGGAATTACAAGCATTATTATGGGAACAGTTGCCAAGAGAGTTTATTGCACAGGTAAGACAGTTTCAGTTAAATATTATTGTGAAAATTCATGAAGCAGTGCTTTCATCTTGGCATTCCCATCCTCATCAGTTCAGTTTTAGTTAATATTTTTTATTAATATATTTAAGGTTGTGTTTTTTATAACAAGAACTTTCCCAACAGGTTGAAAAAGCAGTACTACTATCAAGTGCAAGAGTTTAAAAGCAAGATACACTGCTGTGAACTCAAGATAGTGTGCCTAGGTTAAAACAGGCAGTATAGGGATTTAAATTTTTTCTTCAGGAGTTGCTCAGAGGTAGTACTGAAAGCTAGAAGCAAGAAGGATACTAGTGAAGCAATGATCAGTGGATAGAGTTGCTCTGACTTTCCTTAATCTAGTCAGCTTGAGAAAAACTTAGAAAATATTAGTCTGAAGGGTCAGGGGCATGCACAGCCCATGCAAAATATTCTTCTTTTTTTTGACTATTATCACTTTTTTTCAGACGTTGGTGAAGATCTTCTGGCCATGTGTGAGCAAAATGTTACATTAAACAAACACCTGATGGAGCCAGGAAGTAAGTGCTATGCAGTCAGTGCTTGTGCAGTTGCCTGTGTATGAACTACTTTGGGATTAAACAGCACAGTGACTCATTTAAAAAGGAAGATGCAAAATATCTATATGTAGTTCATAATGGATCTACTTCCTTTTGAGAAAAGCAAAATACTTACTCTTTCTCTGGTCATTATTGAAGGCCAGCTGCGGTTTCTACATAGTGTGAATTTCGCTGAGGTACTTGGGAGGATCACAGATATCTAGGGGTCAAGGGTCACATAAACAGTGTAAATGACGGAAGCCGAGCTCTGGAAAGGACAAGTACTTTGCAGATGAGACGTCTAAAAGAGAACATCGGTTGTCTTTCTGACCCTTAAGTTCATTCTGTTCTGGTATGAGTGGGTAACTGGTTTTGTACAGTAAATTATTTGGTGTTCAACTTTACTTGTCTCATAATAAATCTTTATCTCTTGTTTCAGTAGAGGTTTTGACTCTGCTTTTGCCTAGGTACTGTCTGAATGCCATTTATGACTGATGTGATCTTTCTTCATCCACAGGAGGGGAAGTTAAAGTGAAAGAACTGGACTGGCTGAAAGACGAATTCTGCACTGGTAGGTGGCTGTAATGTGTCCTTTCAGATAGGGTTTGGGGTTGTTTTTTTCCTCTTAGAGCCATCAAGGAAAGTCCTCCAGCACATATGCTCCTGGAAAGCAGCTGAAAGTACACAGCTGTCTTTGAGTGCATCATTGCCATGTGAATGAGTAAGGAAGGGTTTACTGGTAGGTTGAGAATAGACAAGTGGTGGCTGATGTCCACTTAGGTCAAAATCCAGAGGTGCAAACAAGGTGTGTATTTTATTATGGGGATAATGGAATCCAGGCATGATAACATGGACTTGAGTTCAGTAATCCAGATTTTCGTGTGATGGTATTTTGTGACTTGTTACTGCATGAATACAGAACTGTAAAAGGTGGCAGGGAGGGTATGACTTGAAGATGTATAAATGTTCATTCAAATGAAGTGGTGAATGTGTTATATATAAAATATTAGCCAAGGGAATGTATTCTGCTAGTTTTACCAAAAGAAAGGCAACTGACAAGTAAAATGTAAAGTGCTATTAATGATAATAAATCAGATTATTAAAACTGTCTTTCTAGTGATTACAAGGTCAACACAAAATTGTAGCACTATGTTACATGAAGCCTACTTTATAGATTTTTATATCGTCAGATGGATTTGATATAATGCTTTTAAAAAATAGAGCAACTGTTTAAGCAAGTGGAAACATCCTTTAGACATTCAAAAGCCTCTCTTGGACCTCAAAAAATTCTGGTTAATGAAAATATTTGATACTGTCAGTTGAAAAGGTTTGGGGGGTTTTTGGCTTTCAGAGGAAGTGTCTATATTTTACAATGTCTAAATTTTAAAAGCATGATGAAGTAGGAAACTTAATAAAAACTTATACAGATACATTTGTTTTTTTATTTAAAGGAGTATTTCTTTTAATCTAATTAAGTCTGTGCTGTCCTTACAGGGTAATAATTGGTTGTAAATTCTAATGTGAAAAAAGACTTGCTCTTGCCAGTCAGCCTTGCAGAGAAAGCAAAGGACTGCAGGGAAGTTCAAAGAGTGAATAGAAGGAGGGTTTGAGTTACCTTCAGTGGCGTGCACCATTCATGGAGTAGCACATGATCACAGGAGTTAAGTTTTATTTTTCCAGCTGTCAGTCATTTTAGATGTTTAATCGTGTACACCAAAGCTATATTCTTTGTTACAGATCCTGAAGCTCCTTACAGCTGGTCTGAAGAAGAGATTGCTGATCTGCATGACCACTGTACTGTGATAATAGCAGCTGATGGTAGGATAATATAAACTGCAAGCTTTTAAGTCAAAACACTTGAGCATTATGAGTAATAAACATACTTAGTTTGCTTTTAAATCCAGTAGGTCAGATGCTTACCTAATTTGTCAAAGAGTTGCCTTAAGTGTTCCTGCCTGTATTTTTTTTTTTTTTTAAACAGTTGTATTTACATTCTGAATTGGAAATAGGAGAAGAGATGTTGGAAACTATTAGCTTTTGCTTTCCTTTGCTATGGTAATTATTTGTGACTAAATATATTACTCAACATAAGCACAAGCAAGTGATAAAGAGTTTTGTCATGCTACCTTTGTCTTGCATCAGATAGCCTCTGATGAATAGGTGGTTAGACTAATATATTCTGTAATGTGAAAAAGTGTTTCCAGTGCTGCACTTGCCCATGGAGTCTGTGCCTTTGGATATCTCTGTCGTCTTTTTTTTTCTGCTCTTTTTATTGCTGAAGGCAGAGACTGAAAAATGGCAGGCTAGCTTATCTCTATAGGAAAACCACTGTTGTTATGGTATATAAGTAAAGGAGCACTGGTTTTAGTTATGATATTGAAAGATGCTGCACGATTGCTTTCCAAGGAGATAAGGTTATAGTGGTATATTAGTTACTGCCTTTGTTGTAAGAAACAAGGCCCTGTGCATTGTGATATCCTGGGTTGTTTAGCTTTGCAGTGTTTCCAGACTCAGAGAAATCTTGTTAACGTTTAGTAAGCAGTCTGACAAAAGTGATTCCCATTGATGAGAGAAATCTTAAAGTCTGACATAAGTAGTAGCAGTGGATGCTATCAGATTATCAGTTGTAGACATTAAAAATGTGCTTTTGGGTTTAGTTAAAGTAGTGACTTGTTTCATCAGAATAATCGACCGAAGGCTTTGTGCTGGGTTTAGCTGTAATAGTCATTTTTCTCCTTCCTAGTAGCTAGTGCAGTGTTGCATTTTCGACTTTAGTCTGAGAACAATACTGATAACACCAATGTTTTAGTTGTTGCTAAGTAATGTTTACCCCGATGAAGGACTTTTCAGTCTTAAGATTTGCTAGTGAGGAGGGGCACGGGAAGCCAGGAGGAAGCAGAGACAGGACACCTGACCCAAACTAACCAAAGGGGTATTCCATACCACAGCACGTCGTGACCAGTGTATAAACTTGAGGAGTTACCTGGAAGGGCTAGATCACTGCTCAGGTCAGGCTGGGTATCGGTCAGTGGGTGGTGAGCGGTTGTATTCTCTTCCCTTGTTATTTCCCTTATCATTACTATTATTGGTGGTAGCAGCAGTGGTTTGTGTTATACCTTAGTTATTGGACTGTTCTTATCTCAACCCGTGGGAGTTACATTCTTTCGATTCTCCTCCCCATCCCTTCGGGAGCAGGGGGAGGAAGAATGGCAGGAAATGAGGGAGCATCTGCGTGGTTCTGAGTTACCAGCTGGGCTTAAACCACAACAGGCTTGTTGTTGTTTCATACCTGAGACTTAAGTAAATAATACACTTAAACATATGTATTTTATGCTCTTAATCTTTTCTTGCAGTGTTCTATGATGATGACTTGACAGATGCCTTGTTCAGAACGCTGTATAGAATCACACACAACTTGAGAAATTCTTGCACAGTTTACCTAGCCTTAGAAAAGAGGCAAGTATCATGGAGAACTTAAAAAGCACTGAAAACTTTATTTGCTTTCTTTATTTGGAAGAAACATCTGATTTGATTGAAGGTCAACTCCTGATTGTCACTATATTAGTTGATTACAGGCAGTGGTATATGCTCAGGACAGGTATTTGATTTTATACATGCTTAACTTTTAGCAGTTCAGAATTTGATTTCCACAAGAGTTCAGTTTTTGTTGCCCTACCGTTGTCTTGCATGTGACAACCTCTGAGGAAACGAGGATAAATAGGTGGCATTACTGGTGTTTCTGTAATGCCTGACAACATTTGCTGTCTATTTTTGAGGTCACAGAGTGGAATGAAGGGGCTTAGAATTAGGGTGTGTGTTTCCCAGCTTGAGTACCTTTATAACGATTTATATTTTCTTTCAAGAAATTGTTGAATGTTTTGAAGTAGTCCTGTCTTGCAATCCATTCATAAACTAACATGTAAAAAGGCTTGCTTAAATCTGTGGAGATAAGTAAGCAATATCTGTTCTTAAGATATGTTGCCAAGTGTTTGTCCAGGAAGCCAAGCTAATGATTCTCTTGTGGCAGAGTGCCTTAAAATCAATGGAAAAATTCATCCAAGAGTTACTGTATATTGATGCTAACCTAAGTCTTGCCTGCTTTTCAGGAATGGCAAGGGAGTTACTTTTTTTGGCTGTCAAAGTTAGTTAATTACACAGAGAAGACCCACATTTTCCATTACATGAAGTTACATAGCTACTTAAGTTGCCAGTATAGGACAGACATCTTAAACCAATATTCTCTTGCCAGGCTTAACTTCACTTTAAGACATATGGATGTTACATGTGAAGCCTACAGTCATTTTAGAAATACTCTAAATGATTTGGAGAGCCTCCAAGATAGAAAAATTAAATACGTTGTGGAGCCCATTAAGCCTGATTTCTGCCAGTTTCTTGTTTATGAACGAATGGAGCAGTTGGTAAGTGACATTCGTTAAAATAAGGTGATGTGTTGGGCTAGCCATCTCAAGTAAGTTTTCAGGTATTTACTTAACATGAAGTAAGAACAGGTGAATAAACATTACCTTTCCATTTATTTCCAGTTAGCTTTTTGTTGTTTTCCAATTATTCTGGTTTGTGCTTACATAATTATAGTGGATTGATATAACACCCCCTTTTCTATCACCAGCAGCACAGTGGCTTAGATTGCAGTAATTTCCTCACAGATTAAGAAACAGTCTCCATTACTTTTTAAAATACAGTTTCACCATTGACTGGACAATGGGACCAATATCTCTTCTCATTTCATTGTTTGTAGAAGAGCTTTCATTTAATAGTTTTAGTAATTCCTTTTCCAGTTCAGAGTTCAGGAAATAATGTTCTAGTATCTGTGAAGTTACCTGTATTTCAGATCTGTATCTCTAATTCAGAAACATGACAGATACAATATTTGTAGTTATCTGATTACCTCCCAAGCACGTAGGGTTCTCTTTATTTTTTTTCCAATTGTCTGCTCTTAGGAATATTATGGGCAGGCTAGCTAAAACTTGCTAATTTCTAGAACAATACAGTCTAACAGATCTGTTTAAAGAATTTGCAAGTCTTTTACTGGATTGCACATCTCTTACAAGAAACGATGTTCCTGTAGTCGGTATACTATTGCTCAGTCTTCTGCAGTTTATATATGTAGTAAGATTATGGGGGCCACAGTTACTTCATGAGATGGATTTATTTTACTTAATGCTGATACCTTCAGGCATAAAACATGCATGCAAAACTTAAAAGCAAGTTATACAAGTATATAAGTGTAACCTGGATTATACCCAAATCTGTAAACTCATTCCTTAGCCTTTTTGCAGAAGGTTACTTGTCTTTGAAATATATACATATTTAAAATGCCTAAGTTTATTTATCATGAAGTATATTGCCACAATTCAAGATGTCATGGTAAAGAGTATGTGATAGTCTGATTAATGACTGGTATAGCAAAGTGTATGGTAATTTATTTTACTTAATTTATTCAAGTGGTCTGTTTTTCATCTTTGTTGTCCAACAGATTGAGAAAGCGGGGGGGTGGTGAATAAGAGCATTTGTGAGACTGTGATTCCTCACTAAATTGAGTATTTTTTCAATTGTGTTTCTACTAGGATTATCAGAAGCGTTTGTCAACACAGGCTTAGCAAAAGAGCAAGATAATCAGTCACAATACTGCAAAAGGTCATGCAGAACAATGAAATTATTTTAAAACAAATTATTTAATTCAATACTAATCTTTTGTTCTAAAAAATCTTGGTACAAGAGTGAAGAAATAAGTTCTGATGCTCTGTCTCAAAGATAATTTGGTGGTTGTTCTAGAATAATACACATGGACTTGATATCCATCCACAGATGGATATTACCTACAGATGGAAGGTGTGTCTTAAAACTTGTCTTCAAGTGGGCATGTTGAATCTACTGACCTGACAAAATACCTGCATGTATTTTTTCCACTCCTACAGGAATTGTGGAAGATCATTGCTGAACAGCTAACATGACAGAGACATGAGAAACAGAAGATCTTTATCTGAGGATAAAGGTTTTTTGTGATGTTTTGTTAAAAAAGGATTTTCATCCCAAGAAAAGCATTTTCCTGGTGGGACTGTGCTCTCAGAAAGTGCTGTTACACAGATTTGCTTTACTTCAGTAAGTTTGGTGTTTGGCAGTTAGGATATGGTTTCTTTAACATTTCTTTTACAAAACTGTTTGATGCTGATCCTCAAAGTATGTGCTGGATGCTGAACAGTGGCAGTGACACAGTGACTTGCTCTTTGGAATCAATGACATAAGCTTTAGATTCTCACAGAGAGGCACTTAACCTTTTCCGTGTGGCTGATTTGCAGATGTCATGCATTTTCTATTTTAGTTTTCTGAACACAGACACTGCTCTTGGTCTCTTCCAGGTTCCACATTATTTTGTATTTATGGACATTTGTGAAACAGTGGTCTGGGCAAAGACCTGTCTTTCATGGACTTCTCTTCAAGCAATCTCTTTATGAAGCTTAGTCCTTAATTTTCAGTTTGTCCTATCTACATCATTCTAGTTCAGGGCTACTCTGTGAACTGAAAGGACACAAGATGCATTTTGTTTGAGCCTCTAAAAATACTCCACAGAGTTCTTGGAGGTATATTGCTCTGCTGGAACTTTTAAGCTGTTCCCACTCAGGATGAGGGTGGGAAGGTGCCTCGTGAAGTGATACACTACCACTCCTTAAATGTTTGGCATTCTACCCTCAGTGTATATGTGTGAGGCTGGGGAGAAGGTGACCAGCGATGTCTTGCCCATACAAATGGGGCCTTCAGCTTTTGGATTAAAGTACAACATATTGGTCACATCTCTCCTGTGTTATTAATAAAAACAAGATCTGCTTGTACTTTTAATAAATCTTGTGTGTACTGTTATGTTTGTATCACTTGCCATATGTACACTGTCAGGGAAGCTCTTGTGCCAGCTTCTGGATTCTTTAACGTTAGGTGAGGATCAGTGATAAAGCTGTTCTGGCCTGTGACTTGTGACTACTAATGCATACATTGCATTAGAAGCATCTGGCTGACTTCTTGAAAACCTGTTTACATTTGGTTTAGTTCAGTTGGTTTAGGTTATTTCATATACTACTTATATTTATGAAGAGATACTTTCTTCATGTTCTTTGATGAGATAAAAGCTTATTAGGTGATGATGGCCTTTTCCTGTTGAGTATAGTCAAAGTAAAAATTATTGTAGCAGGTAACTGCCTAGGTAGACAGAATTTCTCTCTCGGAACCCTCATTTGAACTTCAAAGATACAAAACTATTTTAATCCAGAGAATCCCAAAATATTGTTCTTTTGTCTATTTTGTAATGTTACTGACTTCAGTAGGTTAACTGAAAACTGGGTTTGAATATAGATGCTTATTTCAGTAGTAATGTTTTGAAGGCTGTAGCAAGAAACTAATTTAAACTGATGTGAAATAGTGTGTGCAGTTAGGGAAGATTTTTACTTGCGCAGGACTTCTGAAAATCTCTGGAATTGTCAATAGAAATTCATCCAGGTAGAGTGATACTGTAGATCTTTTAAATGTAGAATTCAGCCATTTTACCAGAGTTGACTTAAGTTAACGTCTGAAAAATATTTTCATACTTGTATCTTTAGCTGAGTAAACATTGTGGCTGCTTGGGAAGCAAGTTGAAGTAGAATTTCCACCTAAAAGAATAAAGTCAGTCTTTCTGTTGAGGGCAAACAGCTTTGAGGTTTCAGTGACTGAGGCCAAATCACAAATTTGGATATAACCCTTTTCACTGACGATAAGGAATAGCCAAAAGTAGGCAACAGTTCCTGGGTACGACCTTCTCAATTTTGACTTTAATCATACTTTAAATATAGCATAAATGACAGTTGTTTTCAGAACTCATCATGTGAATTTACACCCTTAGCAATTCATTGTTTATTAAGATATCCAAGCGGGGAGTTTAGCACACAGATTATGGTTGCAAATCAAGTTAGTGCCTAAAATGATAATGCCTCAAGCACATTATCTGTGTTTACATAATCAAGAAGGATTTTTTTCCAAATAAAACATGAAGTAAAAGATAGTATGCTCCTTTGGTGATGTTATCAAAATTTGAAAAAGTGTAACAGCTGGAAAAACAGGTACAAGACAGGACTACCAAGAACATACAGAGAAGTCAGGTGATTCAACATCAGGTTAGATGATCTTGGACTTGTGAGCTACTGGGAGTTTGTGTATTTCATTGAAAAAAACCTTAGGAACTCTGCTGGCCTGTTCATATAGGTCTTTCTGGCCACCTCATAGCTAGTAGGGAAAAAAGGGGAATCAGTATTGCCCATTCCTGCAAGCCCTTTATTTCTGTGTAGAAGAAGGAAGAGAAGGTAAGTGCTTTACCTAAAATTAATTAATGTTTTACTCTGCTATGGATCTGAGGTTGGGAGGATTCCATTTGGAAAACTTTCACCTCTGCTAATTTAAGTCATTCTGCACTTCAGAGTGTTTCTGAATGTAGTTGGCATAGTCTGGTTGATTAGCCAGATGGATTGTCTTGGGGAGGGAGGAGCAGCGGAGGTGGAGGGGAACCTGTGGAACTCTCGCAATGCATTTATTTCTGATAAAGGGGAGGAGTGTCACAGTTTTCTTGGGAAGTGTGGTAATGGATGGACATGTGATCTTCCAGGAGGAATCTTGTTTGAAACAACTGATTTTCAGCTTTGTCACTGGTGTATGGTGAAATAACACGTCCTTTCTCAATCCCCACATGCATGGTGAAGATGGCAAGCATCCCTGTCATTTTACCTCCGCTTAAGAGGAATATGAATGACATAACTGTAGATACTGTTCAAGGGAAGAACTTGAACTTTTATGTGACATCGGCATGAGCACTGCAAGCTGATTACATTTCTTTTTAATCTTTGTTGATATGAAACTTGAAGGGCTGCTTTGATGTGAACTTCACAAAAATGAACTTCTGTATGTCATTTTGCAGTAGAAAAGTTAAGATAGTCACTTGATGGGATACATGATGGATATTTATTATCTCTGTGTGTTCTCATGTGTGGGTGGCTATTCATAGACCATAGTTTTAGCTCCATCTGCTGTACGACACTTTGAGTCAAAACATTTTAGTTTGTTGAACATCCTGTTCCATTCTGTTTTAACAATATCACATTTTGGAGTAACAGTTTCGGTTGAATATGGAGTTCTGCATTTCTCACCTAGCCTTGGGTGTACTGGGGATGAAGTAACCGTGGAAGTAATCTTAAAAAAGGTGATGTTTAATTACCTGCCCGTTAATGGTACCTTTACGAGGCTGCCTCCAGCAGTTTGGATTTTCAGGAAACATTCAAGGAAGAAGTGGATGCAACTCTGTGTGTGTGTGCTAGAGACTTCTCATTCATTAGGTCATGACAAATTTGATCTCAAAGTTTTATAGTAGATAAATCCCATGAGTTTGTCTGTTCTTTGACTCTACTGTTCTCATGAACTTGTAGATACACCAGAAGCTCTGGTCCTTTTTTTGTTTTCCCCAGGGGATTAAGGACTTTTTCTCTGGTGGTTGCATTTCTGGGGGGTCCTATTTGTGTCTTTTGTTTTTTCATTCTGGTGGATGTAATCCTGAAACTTGAAGAAATAGTTTTGTGTGGTTTTAGTTTTCTACTCTCTTTCATGTAAAGATCAATAAGCCAATGGACTCACATCTTTTGTTAAGAATCCAATATAATACTTGTCTGTCCCTAGTGGGATCTACAATGTGCTTAAAGTACATTATGAAATGGATTATTTTGCAACAATAAAAGTGGCTAGAGCCAATTTTGGAAAGGCTTAAATGCACTTTACCAGTGACCTTGCAATATTATATGATTTTATAAACATTCATTACACTGTTTCTGAAGCACAGACCCACATCTTGCCAGAGGTCTTATATAGCATAACAGGGAAAAAAATAGCAAAGGAAATTATTGTAATTCTCCTGGTGCTATGCAAGCAAATCATATTCATTCAAAAATAGAAAAGGGAAAAACCATGGATAGAAAATGAGATTCCCTGGAAATGGTGGGAAGTCACCCATAATGGTCCTAGAAAGCAGCACAAGGAATTCATGGAGACCCAGAGGAATTTAGGGTAGAGGTAGATTCCTACAAAACTGAGGGAAATCCTAGAAAGTAGTGTTGGAGTTTCTCCTTGAAAGCCAGGAATTGGAGGGAAGCGTAGTCCTCCAGCCTGGTGATTGTCAGGGAGCAGCAGGAAGGAAAATCCAGGGAACTACTGGAGGGTGGGAATTAGTTCTTGGGAAGTAATTGAAGAACTGGAAAGCAGTAAGGGAAATTCAGGAGTCCAAATGTTTAGATGATCCATACAAGTAAGCTTTATCATCATGTTGGGTTGTTTTTTTTTTCCTTTTATGTCGTTTTATGTAGAGATACTGGCCTGTCAAAAGATGTTATAAGGCTCATGGAGAAATAAATTATTGCAGACAGAATGAGGAAGCAGGTCCTCAGTTTTATTACATCTGTGCTGTTTTCCTATTTCTTGCAGAATGTGTTTTCAGAAGCAGCCTTTTATGTGGTCTGAGTATTGGCTGCCTGTCTTTGAAGAGCCTTAAGAGTCTGAGGCAAGTTCATGGGTTACTGTAATGCAGCTGAAACATAGCTGTGCTGTGTCTGTCCATCTGAACCATGATACTGAAGCATATATATGTTTTTCTTTATGTGGGCTACAGGTGAATGGTATCATTTTGCCTTATGCTTCATTTTTATAAAAGAATAAGCAGCTGCTGTAGAAGCAGTCCTGCTTTCAGTCTTCTGTGCTTATTTTACATTCCAGTTGTACATTTTCCGCTTCTGTGTTGGTTATAGCAATTTTACAATCTGAGCCATATTTATTTTGTGGGTTTTTTTACTCCAAGAAAATCTAATTGCAAGTGTATTTCTCCATTGGATCAATGAGAACTCATCCAACTGACTCCTGTTATCAGAACTTGTACTGGTGATACAAGGCGACCAGTACAGAGAGCAGACCAGCTATTTTGATGGCACTTGGTGTTTGGGTCCACTCTGGGGTTATATGAGACTGTACTCTTAACTCACATAGCAGTGTGTATGGCATTTTAGCAGGCTGATATAAATCAGTTGTGTGACCACAATTCCCTGTGGTCAGATTGCCAGAAGTGTTACGGCCATACTCTGCTGTTGATTTTAAAGGCGGTTGTTAGTGCTGAGTGTTGGGTACAGAAAACTAAAGACTGGTTCTGAAAAGTGCATGCTAAATTCTTGTGTATCTGCCAGTTGTGAAGTGTCAAGGATAGCTGCCTGCCTCATAAACTTGTAGAGATGTTTAAATCTGAAAGTAAATTGAAATTATTTGCTTAATGCATAGCAATGTGTCTTTAAAACGCAGGTCACCTCCTGAAAGTGGTTGTGGTATTTGCAACCTGAAAAATACAGTTGGCAAGGAAGAGCTTTCCTGTAGATAAATCCCAGATGTCAGGGACTGAAAACTTTAAGATCCAAACAAGAAATACAAAATGGGGAAGGAACAGAGTCAGCGAGTAATAATTCTTCTTCCTGCATTCTGAAAGTTGTTTTCATTTATTTGAAGACATTGTCAAAGAGAAACTAATTATCATTACCAAGCCCAAACAGGTTTTAGTCTTGAATGGGACCTGCCATTCCAGCTGCTGGAAAGAAGCTGTTTCTTTTCAGATTCTTCTGCATCCTGCCCCTTGTTCATTTTCCCCTACTCTCTACAGAGAATATTATGCAGTGTTTTCCATAGGACAAAGTATAAATTATTGACTAATGTGCTGACTGTTACCTAGAGAGTTACACCAGACAGAACAGGTAACCACAGGGGGGTGTGTGTAGCTAAAAAAAAAGCAATGGAAGTGATACGTGGATTGACTCCACAACTTGTTAGAGTTGTAAAGTAGGTATGCTTTATTCAGCGCTGAGGTGCATGGGGGTTGCTCCTCCAAAAGCATGCGCACCCTCCTTTGCCATTCAGTTCGTTTATATTACATGTAATGATTCCTAAACATGAGCTTGCTTCATGCCTAATACATATGCAAAACCTATTCCCATCTAGTATTATAATTAGTTTTCTGGCATTCGTCCCATTGGTGCGCCTGCACAGTGCCTCCTGGTGGTAGTCGTTAGGGGGTCGTGAGGATGAAGGCCTGTAGTTCCTCTTCATCACTGCGAGTAACCTCTTGCTTTCACACAGACTCAATAGGGTTTCCGCTCCTATCCAAACCTCAGGTTCGGTACAAGCCAGCTTTATGTATCTTAAAGCAGAAACTTGTCAAGTTAGAAAATTTTGTTACTCTGGGTATCTTCTGTTCTTTTTCTTTCTAAGGATACTATTTGAACAAGAATGTCTTAAATACTAAATTATGAATCTTATCTACTACAATTCTGCCTAGCAGCTGTAACTCCTACAATTCTGCTTCAATATTCTAGCAACTTTGACTCCTACGGTTCTGCTTCACCAAGCACAGTGACTGCTTAAGCAAGCAGGCACAATGTTACCCCTTTATTTCCTGGTATCAGAAGGACACAGAAAGTCTTCAGAGGTTCAAGTCCAGTAGCAAGATTTGAAAATCAGCTACTTCTGCTACCAGGCTGTCTTGTGCTTTGGTGTGGGACATAGGTCCAGAGGCTTGTATTTTCTTATGGACTTCATCCTGCCATGGTGTCACTCCTCCTGACCCTCACTGTGTGTGTGCTATGTGTCTGTGCTGAAAATTGGTGGTTAACACTTCATCTTGAATAATCCTGCCAGCAGCGTGCAGTCAGAGGTGGGAGTACAGTGCGCTGCCTCCGAGGTTTCTTCCAGCAGATGGCATGTGGAGTTTCTTTAACAATACCAGCACCCGAATGAAGTAAGGTAACACACAAACAAACGTGTGTTTACAGATTACTTACCGGAGCCGGTCCCCGGGCTGGCGGAAGAGGAGGTGTGAAGGAACATTCCTGGCTCAGCAAAGGGAGTGCATTCGCTAAGCTCCTGCTTCCTTTGATGAGGGCTATTTTTTTGTAATGGGGTAGTGAAGGCAAATTGTACTCTATAAAAATTCTATTC